ATCTGCAAAGCCTTCTGCTTCATCGGTTGTTTAAGCCACACAAGAGAATGACTCGAGGACAAAATTATTGAATGCAAAAAAAAAAACGCATGATTTTCTTTCGTCTTTTTAATATCAAATGGTGCATGAAGTTGAAGATGCAAAGAAAATATTTTGTAACAAATGGTCTGAAATGGATTAAGGAAAAAAATACAAAAAATAGATCAATATTATAGCACTGGTGCGTTTTTTTTTAAATCATTCTTTCTCAATTTGATAATGATATCTCTACATTGAGCAGATGTAAAGAGATATCGATAATATATCATATTTGTTAATTTTTATTTTCTAATTTTGACGTTTTCAAATTATTTGGAAGGAAAATGTTAGATTTGGAAATCAACCTAAAATTTCATCAATGTTACACACAATTTTATTTCAAAGTGCATAAATCAATTACAACATTTTTTTAATTGCGTATCTTTATGCAAGAAGAAGTAGAAAATAATTTGTATCTACTGGTGTTTTAAATCAAATAATTAAATAAAATCGTTTTGAAAATAAAAATTCCACATATAAAACATAAATTAACCTTTTTTAAATTTACTTTCAAACATTGCACACAAGTAATTTTGTATGCTTGGTTTTTGTAGCAGAACCACTGAGTCTATGAATATCAGTAATGTTACAAAATTCCCCATTAATTTTCGAAGATACTCCTTCTCTCATCAAATTACACACGTTCCCAACTAATTATATCTGCAAAACGCGCATTATTCTCCATTGTTCCAAATGTCAAAACTATCACTTGCGTGGATCCAAACGCAGAACAATGTCACCTCAACGGATGCGGCTGGTTGCCTATCGGCGGATGAGATACCTGCCTCCTAAACGTCAGCGGCAGACGCTGGCAAAGACAATGAAATGATAATAATCAGTTACAGCTGCTGCTGGCAATGATAGTCGAGTGTCTCTGCCGCCGGAACTCTGTGCGTTCTAATTCAGTTAATTAAAAATCATTGCTCGCCGAATAAGCTCAAGTTTGGCAATTGCGCCGTAAAAGAATAACTTTGTAAATTATGCAAATTATCCGAAAGTTCAATTAACATTGTAATGAGTGCAAACATAACTGCGCAACTTTTCCAGAGAGAGGTTTGTATAAATAATTTAAAAATTTGCACTCCGGCCGTGGGGAGAGAGAGAAGAAAAAACTGCTCTTGTGTGTTTCGTCTGGCGCAAAGTGTCTTACAAATTGCACCGAAAGTAGTTAGTTTAAGTGCCCCCCGGAATGTAATAGACAGAGAAAGAGGCGAGGAGGTAATTATAGCAACGGCGCAGGCCTGCTTTTTATTATTTGATACAATGCGCCGTAAAAGGAGGAGAGAAAGTTACTTTTTCTCTCTCTTGGCGCGCAAGGGCAATCCTCTTTGATATTTCCAGCTCCATCTTTTTACGAGCTGTCCGTAATCTCGGCCCTATTAATATAACGACTCGCGCTGTGTCTTTTTAAATGTCAGAGCCTCTTTATAGGCAGTCATTAGCATATTATGTTACCCAAGTGAGTGTGCTGTAAAAATTCTCGCTTAATAAGAGAGAGGGGCTGCGCAATTTTTAACGCGCCGTCGTCAATTTTGATTGCGGCCGTATTATCATAATGTCATTAATAACTTCGTATTTTATATCAAAAACCATCGAACAAGCGGAATATTAGGATTATGGTGCACTAAAAGTAATAAGGAAATTATTACCTCGTAAAAAATTAAGAAGGAAAAATCAGCAGAAATTTAGATCAAAGTCAAATAGGAAAGATTTTTAAATTTTGAAGAAAACTTATTGATTTCAGTTTCTATGTATATGTAATTTTTATGTAGTTTTAAAATCCCATGTTATTATAATTGGAAAAAATTATATTTAGAATGAAATCATACAATAAATTTTATCCTATATTATCGCAAATAATTTAACCTTTCTTTGAACCTGATGAAATGATAGTCATATCACTCACTATTGGTGCTGATTCATATGGTTTCTAGGTAAGTTTCATTATATATTATTAAAAGGAAATAACTACAAAATATTTTATGAAGTCATATTTTTTTTAACTAAATAATTAAAATTTACCAAAAAAAAATTATTAAGTTATGCTTTTTAAATGTAAATAATTATATGAAATATTCTTTATTTAAGAAAGAGTTAAGATTTATAGTACACATAACCATTTATTTTAATTTAAATTATAATATTGACAATTAACAACTTCTTCAAATAACACTGGACGCCCTACGTTTCCTTTGGTTGCGTTTGGTCTTGTCAAGGCCATGGACTTGACGCAGAAAATTGTCAAAATCCTCGTCGTCCGAATTCTCGATCATTTCTTCGTCAACATATTCAGCGCCCGCCTTCAAATCCTCGAACAGCAAATAATTCATGAGTCCGTTGGGTAGTGAGGTCAGCTGGTGAATTTTGGCAACATAGTTGTTGGGGCCCAAGGCCTTGACCACCGCCAGTCTGCACGAACTGAGCAGAGTCCGCGGTTGGGCCATCATTTGCTTCAGGGCGTCGGCGATCTCTTCGCGCACCTTCGGCCTGCAGAAGTGGTTGTCAATCTCGTTCATGGGCAGGTTGGTCACGACGTTGATTGGCATGATGCCTTCGGAGTCCGTTTCCCACAAGTTGCAACCAAACTCATTCAAGATGCGCAGCAGTCTGATTTCGCTTTCAGCATCATTTCTAAATAAATAAAAGAAATTTGTAAATTCCTTAAGTTTTTGAAAAGACAGTTTCAATTAAAAAAAAAAATTGTCTGCATAGGTGAAAATTTTTTATTGTTTCATATTAAACAAAAATATTGATTTAATATTCAAATTGATCTTAAAATTTTAAAGACATTACACTTTCTAAGCAGAGATAAGCCATAAGGTAGCTTTAGTTAGTAATTTGCAAATTTAAATTTAAAAAAAAAAAACTAGTCAAATTACGTAGACGCATGTCTATGGGAAACAAAATTAAAAATTGATGTATCTTCAGATTAAAAATTCTTATAATCAGAAAAAATAGAGAAAACTACCTCAAATTCATAACCCAGTTGAAAATCAGGGACACCTCGTCTCGCTCAAGTTCATCCAACTGGAGGTCGTCGGGCAGTTGGGCTTTGTTGAGCACCGCTCCGTGCCTCAGCAGCAAACGCAGGCATTCATGTCTCTTCCACCAAATCGCAGTTACTGGCGAGTTGAATTTGAAGCAGGCCCCGAAGGAGCGGCTGGCGAACCTGACCTGCGTCGGACAGGACGCGCCCAAGGTGTCCAGCAGGTAGGCCAGGTTCCTGTGGTTGTCCCTGCAGACGAGCGTGTCCACCAGTTCGAAAACGACGCGATGCCTTTTTACCAGCGGCAACAACTGCAGCAGATCAAGGCCCAGTTTCATGGTCGTCAGCTGGCTCGAGTTCAGGGTGGTGGACACGATGGACTGGAAGACGCAGGTGTGCATAGTTTCCAGGTTGCAGTGGCGCAGGAGGAAACGAATGCACTTCCGGTGGCCAGCCCTGTAAAATATTTAATTTTTTTTTATAATTATGGAAAATTCTTAAGTGACCGTTTTCAAATGTTCACCTGGCGGCCCACCAAAGGGCTTCGATGAACTCTCGAGAGTCGGCTGGTTCTTCGGAAAGGAACACTCGGGTGCGCAGCTGACCCAGGTCACGAGTGGTGCCCTGGCAGGAGGACGGGTGGAGGTCGGAATGGTCAGAAATGTAGAACATCTTGAGACGTTTTCAAAATTCGTTAGGGAAACAAATGACTTGGAGCAACAATGAGAGAGATTTTCTCCTTAAATAATAGCAATTTTGATACTTTCAAAGAAGTTGTTTGTTGTAAATTACATTGTTGCTTAGGAATTTGTTTTGAAATGTGCACACTTTTATATAACAAAAATAAAATGCATTTTCTTTTTATAAAAGCACGCAAGACAATATATAATATAATTCTAACTTATATTACATAAAAATTAATTTTATTTCAAGTTATAAAATTAATTTAAAACAAATTTATTATATACAATTTTGTTGTTCAAATTTTGTATAATTTAATTTACAAAATATTTAATTAAATAAAACATACAATACCACATTTGTTTCATATTTATTTATTTATTTATTTATTTATTTATTTATTTTCTATTTCAAATAAGAATGTTTGGTATTTTATTATTATCAGATTATGTACTTATTGGTAACTCGTTAGCCAGGATTTCCTTTTTCTTATTTGGTTTAGTTGAAATGGCAAATTGGTACGATGTACTCAAATATTAAATTTAAGCTACAAAAAATATTGCCTCAATATTCAATTGAATAAAATTTATTTATAACATTTAATGTTATTAAATTATCCTTAGATTATCATATTACCAAATTATTAAATTATTATTTTTAATGAGTGTTACAGTGTATTTATTAGTGCACCTGAAGAGTAGAAAGTAAAAAAAAATTGATTGAAAATATCATTACGAATAATTTAAATTTAACAATTAATTCATTAAATATTTTGCTTCGCAGTTTATGTTTTTTTTTTGTGACTGATATTTTCTTCTTCTAGCAAACTGCTGTACCTGTTACTTACTAGGGAATTAAAATTAGTGCCATGATTTTCCAAAACACCATTCAAGATTCTAATCATGAACACCGAGTCAATTTATTTATTTTTTTAAAAAATTATAGCAGCATAACAATTTAATTAAGGAGTTTGACAATAAGCGAATGTCGTTTCGCTCTTAATAGACCTGACTATGAAGATCATTTGTTTCTTACGCTCCGCTCCTTTCCTATCCTTTACTTCATGTGACGACGTTGAGCGCCTACAAACAAATTGATATGAATGTGATGTGTTCTTAGGGTGGAACTTCTATAAACGAGTTAATATTTCCGTGCTAATTTAAGGTTTATTCGGAATTACATTTTGTAATAAAGTGAATATTATTGCTCCAAAAAAATGGTGTTCGAAAACTGAAATTCATCAATTCTGTTGCAGGTTTTGCGTCGGCGACCGGTTTTACTTGTGCGAGAACAAAATCCTGTGCGAATACGACTACGAGGAGCGACTTGTGTTCGCCAACATGGCTTACAACCCTCCGAGTTTGGCGCACCTGAAGCGCCAGACCAGCCAGTTACCTGTGAGTATATACGTCACCTAAATAAATTATAGATCGGGAAATGATGCAATTAGTTGATTATGCAAATTGGTAGAAACATAGAGAGAGAGACAAAGCGCCAAGGGGTTGGCGGATTGCGAAATTCCGCAGCAGCAATAATTCCGCGCATATAATCGTTAATACCCAAGCCTGCTGGGTGTGCAGTTTGTTTAGGATGCATCAGCAGTGTAATAAAATAGATACGCGGCTAGAGACGGGTTGTGTGTGTGTGTTTGTGCCTAGAGCAGCACTAATGTGCAGGTGGACGTTTGCATATGCATCTCCCCAGCGGCGCAAAGATAAATAGCGTAATGTGCTGTATCGCAATGCGCGCCACGTTTGTTTGGCCAGTGTCAGCATTGCTGAGTGGGCATTGATAATCGTTTAGCACACGCCGCGCACCTGACGCGTACGCACAATTTGCTCCCTCGTTAGGCTCTGACACGGCACCAGGGTTCGTGCAAAAACCGATTGGAATTTTCAATCAATTTTTTGCAGAGCAAATATCAAATATTTGAGTTTTTTTATTATTAAAAATGTGATTTTTTTAATTTACACATTTCATTGATAATTATTTTAACCATTTTAACTAATGAGGCTTTTTTGGTTCAATAATTTTCAGCGTAATCTTGAATGTTTCAAATCGTTTAATTCACGAAATTAATTCAGGGAAGTAAAAATTATTGTAATTCATATTATGTGGATCAGATGAAGCCTTATTTAGAAAATTAACAACTATTTTCAGTATTTTATTATGATTATTTATTCTTCTTTAAATTTTTTAAATTTGAAAAAAGGGAAGAAAGGGTTTACAACTAGCAAATGTCTGCTAAAACGCCCGACATCAAAAGAGGCTCAGCCGCCGCGGTAAATGAAAAATTTACCCCTTATCGTATTTTTAATGAATTTCAAACAAAACCCCTTTAACAAGTTGATAAATTCTTACAATTTGCTAAATACAGAAATAAATTTAAATTAAGTTCATTTCTTTAAGCATGTGATGCTAAAAGTAAATAAATTACAGTTTCTTTTTATTTAATTACTCCGTTTAAAAACGTTTTTTGAGAAGCAATCTTAATTTCGTACCCTGATTGAGCCGTGAGCATACAATGACTGATGTACCTTTTCAGTTTGCCAAAGTTATTGCCCGATCAGCAGTGCAACTCTGAAGAGAGACTTGCTCTTTCAAGGCACTAGAGTGCCATTATTATTATTATTATTGTCGTAATAACGTTGATCGTCTCAGCATCTGTTGTCATCTCACAAAGTTTCTAATTTCGATTGCCATAATTAAACACGGCGAGCACGAGCGGGAGGGTAAAATTAAGCGCCAGAGATTCTAATCCCTTCTCTCTCTCTCTCTCTCTCTCTCTCGGGCGGGCGCTCTGCACCGGCAGCACTTTGCCATAGTTTGTGTGTCAACAGCCATACGCTCTAATCCCACCTTAATTGCAATATCTCACGCCACCTCTTTTCCGAACTGTCTCGCAACACCTAATCCGTAAAGGAGTAATTAATTTTCTCCCCCGCGCTAATTAAACACACACACACTCTTCGTCCCTGCAGCTTCGTGAACGGCACAAATTACACTATTCATACGCGCCTCACTCCCTTTTCAAGAAGTTATACGCACCTGTGTGTTCTTTTCATTACACATTAGACAGTACGTGTTGTCTGCTGAATCAACACGCACGTCCAACAACGAGCCGAATTAATTTCGTGCAATGAAATCGGGATGAGTTTGTCTGCCAACCTTGCAATCTATCCGAGTTGGTAAAACATTTAAGATTTAAGATCAAGTGATGCTTTGTAAAAATTCAATCATGCATATAAATCTGCTTTAATTTTAGAAACTTAAATATTACGTATTTTGTATTGAAGTAAAGTGAGATACAAAGTTATAATGATTGCTTTATTTTAAAAAATTAATTAATAAAATTTACAGTTTTAAATTGAGTGGTCCATTTTTTTTAATAATCATTTTCGCATATTCTGTCCATTTGGAAAATTCAACTGTGCTAAAAAAAAAGGCAAATTTGTAATATCTATGAAAGTAATATAAAAAAATACAATAATGAGGATTCAGCAATTTTTATTATTTTCTAATCTAATAATTTGTACCATTTTTATATATATATATTTTTTATATTATATTTATTTTATTTATTAAGGAGAAAAATCGCGTGTTGCGAGTGAAATTTCATTAATTTCGCATCATATGCCACCGCGCAAATTATCTATTATTTTCGTCGGTGAATGACAAGCGCGCTGCAGTGTGTAGATTTTTGTTTCGCTGCAAACCTAAATAACTAGCGGGTGGTTCACATTCGGTCTGGCGTCGGAGGGCGGCCGGGGGGTTAATCGCGTGGTGCCCGCAGAGAACAAATGAGGTGAGAACCGGGCCGCGTGTTGCTCATTACGTGCAAAAGTACCTGAGTCGCTGACTGCTGTGTTCATTTGTCTGCCGCTGATATGTCTTGGGAACCGCGCCGCCTGTTATGTGTTTATATCTAAGCTCGCTGCTGCATCCCCCGACCACCCCTTGATACGCGCGCGAGAGACTCATCAACCCTCGGCGTGCAAACGTCTCGCTTGGATCATTTGCCAATTTCGTACGAGTCTCATGCCCACGAAATTGAAATTGCTGCGGATGTTAGGGGAGAACAAGTTTAGTTAGGCAGGATAGTTCTTACTAATGGCGCTTTTCAAATTTAGAAGGGAATGGAAATTGCAAATTAATTACTCAATTGAGAAATAAAAGGAGATGAAAAATGCAATTTTAGGTCGCATTTTTATTTTTTACGTACATCAAAGAATAAAAAATGGATTATTAAGGGAAAATGGAACTAAAACAGTTTCTCCATTTTCTGGGACGTTTAATTGAATAAATTAATTTAAAATTCAATAATTTAAGAATTTTTAGAACCTCAAAGAGACAGAAATACTTAACAATGTAATATTTTTTACATTGATTCTAACTTATTTTTCCTGAACATAAGCATCATGAAATTTAAATTAACAATTGTTGTCTTTTAAATCGTTTTTTTTTTTAATTTCTGAAATATTTGTGTACCAATCCAACTTAAGTTGCAAAAAAAAAACTTTATTACTCTTGCCTTTTAAAATAATTTAATCTTGAATTTTTTATTTACAAAAAATATTGTCAATTTTAATATAATTTATAATTTTTCAAGTTGTTTATAATAACAAAATGCGCTTTTTACTGTTTTAAAACGCTTTGTATAATTTTATATATAATTATCTTATAAATTTTTTTCAACGATGCAAGCTAATAGATAAGTTATGCAATTTTAAATAAATATATGCAGCCTCAGAAATCAAATTAAATGAATTTTATTAATTGTAAGCAAAAATGCTGTCGAAGAACTAAATATTTTAATTAATCTGCATGAAATTGATTAATTTTAGTAAGAAAAAGTGAAAATGGAAAACGATTTTTCAGTTTCGTGGACCTATTTCATGAAAACGCTAGTGAGTTTCTGATGTCAGTTTATTTTCCAGCCCCCTGGTCAGGCGGTGAACGGTGGCTCCGCAGCCTCGCGTCTGCACCCCGGCGTGAACCTCCCCGGCGGCGTTGGTCCCTTAGGTGGAGGACCGCCTATGCCGACCCTTCACGGCGACTCTCTGCCCCCCGACCAGCAGCGGCGCCTCCAGAACGGCGTCGACGGCGGCGGCGGCAACGGCTTCGTCGCCCCCGGAGACCACTTGGGTCCGTTCGACGCCAAATGAGACTTTCCGAAACGCAAGCGGAAACGGAGCTAGTCGCGCATATCAAGGAAAGAAAGGAAACGAAAAATTAGCAAGTTTGGTGGGGAAAATTTAAATTAAAAAGAAAATTCCGCCGCATATATACTCTCGGAGAGCAGGATCAATGTTCGATATTAAGGGACTTTCTCAGTCAGTGCATGTGTTCTCCAGTAGAAGCAGAACTTTTTTTGTTCAAATTTTATTATATATATTCTATATCAATGTATTGACTTTCGTTTATGATTGATTGTGATACTCAAATGCCAAACTCTATAAATGAAGCATTTTTTGAAGCCTCGCCCACTTCGATTGATATGTAAAATATTGCAGAGGCAAATGTTGAAAAATGTATTATGGACTAATTACTAAGTGTATAATCACACCTTCCGAAATACTGTAAAATCGTACATAACGAAGCACTTCTGTAAATTAAATATTTGAAGAAAGCACAACTGCATTATTTATTTTGACCTATGTATAGTTTAATTACATTAATTATAAAATAATCATTATGGCATTATAATCAGCTCTGTGAAATATTCATCTTTTATGATACAAAATTATAGATTTCGTTCAAATTTTTACTAGAATATTGATTTTAAAACAAAAAAATCACAGGCTTATTTTTTTTCCACCAAATCCAAAAACATTAATCAACCAAATAAACACTTATTTTTGCATTATTTTATGATGTTAACAAAATTGAATGAAAATTAAAAGTTTATTTTTATTTACCAGTATTTTTTAAGTATTTTATCCATACTTTGGTAAAATTTTTATGCAACAGTGTAATTTGGATTAGAAAATTAAAAAAAAAAAGTTACAAACAAGTACATAATTGAGCAAATTTGACTCAATGTATAAGAATAATTTATTTAATGATACATTTCGATATATTTATTTTTAGCTATGTTGAGCACTTGGTGACGCAGATTATCCATAAAGGAAAACAAGAAGATGCGCGTGCGGCTGTTGTGTCTGCAAGGAAATTGCTCGCCTCAGGAATCTGACTGTGAATTTAATTAATTTTAAAACCTCAAAGCTGCTGCTGCTCGTTTATTGCGCTATTTTGTCAGCTCTAAAAGTGGCAGAGCAGTGCGGGGCTTCTCTGTTATATTAGCAGCGGGAGAAATTAATTGAAAATTGTATTTCACTCATTGTTCGCTCCGCCGCCGCCGCCGCTGTTGCCGGCAAAGGAAAAATGTTCTGTGTATGTGAAATTAATGGAATCGCATCTGAGAGTGAAAAAGGGAAGGATTCATTATTTCAGCTGGCGAACTGCATGCTGAGTAGGAATTCGCATTGTCCATTCAGATTTTAATTGGAGTCTGTGATAAATCACTTGGCTGCTTTTTGTTATTAATCCAAAGTAATTATAGAGGAACGAGACACAGAGAAAAAGAGCTGAGAGCAATAATTTAGCCGGCGCGATAAATAAAAGGAGGAAAAAGCGCCACTTGGCTCTTTTTTGCGCTTCGACTCTTTGCTGCCATGTTGATTGCAAATGGAAATTTAATCTCTGCGCTCAGTCAAATATACGACGCAATTTATGTGTTGTGCATGATCTGACGTGCAATTTAAATGCTCCTTCCACGTAGAGTGACCCGATTTCCTGTAGTGCACCGGAAAGCAGATTTTCATGCCTTGGAAAAAGCAAGGCGTATCTAAATTAGATCTGACACATCAAAGTCTGGTCAAGACTTGAATTTAAAGAGAATTTCAAGATAATGAAATAGCATAGAACATGGTGAGTGAAGTTCAAGGTTGGAAAAAATTATCCTTACACCAATAAAAAAAAATGAAATTGATTTAAAAAATTATAATACATAATTTCAAATCAATCAGGATTGGCAGGATGGTATTCACGATTTCCTTCAGCAAAGCAAAACAAGTCAACATTATAAATTAAAAACAAATTCTTCTCTCAGAGCTAAAATTTCGTAAATTTTATTGCGCATTGATAACGTACACAGCAAAGTTTAAATGCTAATTAAAGCATAATAAAATAATTTTTTAGATGTTTATATATTGAATTTTTTTTCTTATTTTTATATAATATTTTAAATTAATTAATATTTATTTCAAACAAGTTATACTGTAATACAAAATTTATTGTAAATACAAAACATTTTATTATGGACTTTTCAAATCAACAGCTTTCTCATACAAAAATATAATGCACACAATAAATTTAAATATAAATACATTATCCTATCCCATATATTTGAGCCACACAAGGAGTTCTTGAGATGGAGTTTAATCCGAACTGTAAAAATATTCACAATCAATATCACAATAATAAAAATAAATATTTTATTTAATCAGGAATGTAATGTGGTGTGGTTTGAGAAAACATGTTTGGTTAATTTGTTTAATTAGAAATTGGAAAGAGCATTGTGATCAGATGCTAATTTGCATAATTAAATGAGTTGTGTGGCCGACAGTGGCCTTGTTATGTGAGCAAAGAAAATCGAACAGAAATAAAATTTTTAGTAATTGACCTGTCATACTTTTGATTCTTCATGTTGAATTTGAGATTTTATTAAATAATTAATTTATCAATGCCTTGAAAAAATAAAAATCTGTTAACTTTTTACTTAGGCTTTTTCGTACCTGAAAAAGAAAACAATTGTAATTACTTGGAGTTAATTGTCTTTATTAATTCCCCATTTATAAATTACTTATTTATGTTCTCTAAAAACGTACTTTTTACTACTAAGTTAAGCGATCCCATTTTTGCACCTGTGAAGAGCAACCAATTTGCAGGTTGAAGAGTGAACACTCGTGCGGGGATTTGTAGGTTGGTTTTCACCCTCGTCGGCGGGATCAGCAAAGGAGCCATTTCTGCAAAGACAACAAACAATAATCAGCTTGAGCCACTTACGTTGAGTGTGGCGCAGAGAGAAAGCGAGCGGTATTGGTGAGAGGGCGCGTGTTTTTAACAAGATAAAATCGGAGGGCAACTTTTCATCACGCTTTGACGTGTTATTTCAACGAGTAATTTATTTGTTTACACGCGATTTTTATTATTTTCCTTGTTATTAGAGAGAACGAGACGTCGCGGCGGAGCGTCCCATTTATTTGTGCCGATACATTTGTCTGATTACAACTTCTTCTTCTTCTCCTCCGCCCTGATTTATCTCTCGGCCCCATAAATACGAGAGTGTCCAATATTGCGAATTTTTCCATATTTTTATGCGCGCGTGCACGCATTTTTATCTGTGTGCGAGGCCGGGCCGGGGCATTTATATTTGCCTCTTTTTGCGCCGGACTCGTCGACACAAAGAAATTTAATATTAATAAAAAAGTTTCGCAATTCCGTCAGGCTCCAGTGCCTCCGCAATATTAAATAATAATGCGATGCACACGCTGAACTGCTCTTCAGGGGAGGATATTGCCGTTTGATCAGCACGACTGGACTCTCTCTTTCTCTCGTCCACTTTTCCTCTTCTCGTCCGTCGCAATCCCCATCTCCAATTCCAATAACAATCGCACGACACATCCATAGAATAGGGGCCTTGGCATGCGCCGCCGCGTCCGTGCACTCTGTTTATGCATATTGCGATTCCTAGCGCATTTCAACTCGTGCGAAATGGAAAAGGAAAAAAAAGAACTGTGTTTTTGCTCTTATTCGTCCTTATAAGCTTTTATTTTTAAATTCCTCTTCTAGTTCCATAACTAGCAAGACTATTGTAAATTATCTTCAGATAATTATGGTATAAAAAGTAGTGATTTTCAGAAACAAATTGATAATGGTTAAAATATGAACTAATACGCTGGTAGGAAAAGACGATTTGATTATTTTAAATCACTTCGAAATTTATTCCGGCCAAAATATGTTGTTAGTAAAATTTGTGCAAGAAAATTATAAACAATTATATCAAATTAGAAAATGCATTATAATTTCCAATTAATTTTCTGTCTACTTAAAAAATTAGTGCCATCATGTTTAAAAACTGAAGTTAATATAATAAACTGAAAGTTCCGTAATATTGTTATTTCCATTCTTTTGGATTTCCATTTTGATATGATACAAATGAGGTGTTGAGAATTATTATAATTGAATGAGAATTTTTCAACAGAAAATCTTATGACGTATTTTTATAAGTTAGAAAACAGACTTTATTAGTCTGAAATAATAATTAATAAATAATTGGTTAATTTAAAAAGTATGCTTTTAATATTTTAAATTCATCAAAAATACCGATAAATAATTACCTTTCTTACCAAATTAATGCATTATTTTTTTATCATTATCATCCTCTTATTTAAAATCTCTTTTTTTCGGTAAAACATGCAGCTTTTCAAATGCAACGAAAAAATAATAAAGCAACCCTTAAAATTAGAACGTGGAAAAGCTTCGCGAGGGGCTGCACTTTCATGTGAAATTAAAAACGGGAGTTAAAATTTTAACAGGAGCACTTTGATGAAAATCTCATTAATGAATATCCGCGCGCCACTCTTTTCTCGCGCGCAGAAGGGTTTCTTAATGCTCTTAAGGGATGCATTATTAGATTTCCATGACAGATTGTGTCGCGCGCGAGAAAGACTAATGGCTGCTGATTTGCATGAGACTTTTATAAAAGCTTAATTGCAAAATCCAGCCGCGCGCGCCGCCTTTTTGATAATGTTAATTGCTCGTCTCTAATGAAGAACTTTATCAATAGCAAGAGACGCGAGGAGAAAATTTACGCGACGTACACGAAATTACCCTCGGAAAATTCGCGATCCGTGCACACAGAGCTGCTGAGCAAATAATCCGACAGATTAAACAAAACAAAAGAGGGAATGCTGCTTGAATGCAAATTAACAAGACGCGCCGAGGTGTAATTGCATTTGGCCGTGGAAGTTTCGCTGAATTTGAATTTGCTCGGTCGGCCGACGCGAGTTTGGCTTCACACTTGGCTAAGTGGGCAAATCGCGACCAAGTTGCTGACCAAATGCGTTGTAAATAAACACGGGACCGTCCGAGTGGAAAACGCGGCCGGTGGAAAACTCGCTCGCTCGCCCGCTTTTCCTCTACGCCAACTTTGCTCCTGCACGGATTTGTGTTTTTTGCACGGCTCGCAGCTTAATTTATGCTCAATTACACTCATTTAGCCGCGCGTTATCTCGCCAGATGCGCGGAAAAAAACCGCTCCGACCACCGGTGTGGAAAAAGCGGCAAGAGTATCAACGTGTGCGCTCCGCCGACAGTGAGAATGTTGCACCATTTTATTTTTTACCTTTTCACTTTTTTGCAGTTTGCAATAAGAAAATACATTAAAGAGATTTTTTTGCAAAAAAAAGAGATATAAATCAGATTTGGATTAGTTAATTTTTCATATACACACTTCCTTAAATTTCCGATTAAGCTTGTGGGTTTTTTTATTTGAGTTTGTGACTCGAGTGTTGTGAAAATACTGATAAAATGAAGGCCAAAATCCTGCGTCAAATTTTAGCAACAATTCATAATATGAATTCAGGATATTATCCTAGGCAGGAAAATTAAATTGAAGTCTGTAAAATTCAATTATTCTATTTTTAACTTGCAGACTTCATTCTTCCATAAATAATTGATACCAATGTGAGTTTGTGGATTTTTATTTCTGATTATTTGCGGTATGCGAGCGCTGTGGAAATACCGGCTCGGAAATACCAATAGATTAGAGACTGAAATAAGTGCGTCAAATTTAAGAGTGCACGTGTACTTGACTGCGTTGGGCTGCCTTCATCCTCTACATTATCTAAGAATGAACTTCTTCTACTGATTCATTATATTTCGACTAGAGTCCACGTGCAAAACACCGGATATAATTTTTTTTTCAATTCAATACATTGTGATAAATGATAAGAAGCTGTTATTTTTTACGGTTTCCGGTTTAATGCTTATATTTGGAGGTCAATGTTTTTCCCTGCGCTCATTTATTTTTGTACTTGTTGTTGATATGATTATTTATTTCCTGACCAAAAATTTCCGTTCGGCTTCACACACGCGTCATTGAAATACGAAGTTCAGCAATTCCTTTGAAGAGTTTTCATTTCACTTTTCGAAACATGGAGAAGCGGAAGCTTCCTTCATTGCCGCAGGGCAACTCACAAGACTGTAATTACATCAATACAGAACCTTACATGGAAGTGCTCAATAATAAGGAAGATACGCAAGATAAGAAGAGGTGTTTTCTGTGGACAGCCGTCACAATCTTTGCCATCTTTGCCATATTTTCCATTTTAAGTTTTTGCCTCCTTGACTACTACATGCTGTTTAAAGTTGTAAGTTGAGCAAAAAAATATTGATTGTAATTATTCAACAGGCTATATTTGATTAGTTTCATATTTTTACCAAGAATTAATATCTTTTTTCCTTAGTTTTTCTTCTTAAATTTTTTACACCTCCTCTTCTTTAACTTACGTCCAAAAAGGAATTTTATGAAAAGCACACCTAACAATTTATTATTTCTTGGTATTTGATCTGTCGCAATTCAAACCTTTTGTTTTAATTTAAAAATGAATTTCACGACTAATTTTTCAGGTTGATAAAACTGATGCGGCTAGACTCGCTGATGAACAATTTCAACAGGTTTGGATGGAATTATGTAGTATAGTATTAAATAAACAGAAAGACAGCATTATAATATTATAGAATAGGATATAATAGTATGACAAAAAAATTATAATTGATAGAACGTATGGTATTGCAAAGATATATAGAGCTAGAAAAACAAATGTTTTTTTTTGTACTTTTTGTTTATAATTATACATAATATCTTTTAATTCGTCCTCATTTGCAGTATACATCGTTAAAAATGGTGCTGTACTGCGCATTTCCCCGTAAGTTCTATAGTTTTTTTTTCTTATTTAATTTAAAAAGACGATTTTTTTTAACTATTAATAAATTCTAGGATTAAATAACTTGACAACACTGGCCAATAACAAGAAGTATCGTTTCAATTCTTCGAATCCAGTTAGTTTTACTACTTGCTGAAGGCACTTTTACATATTTATCTAATGCTCGTTTTCCTATTCCCTGAAAGGTTACATGGGAAGTTGCAAAGAAATCTTGTGAACGGGATGGGTTGCAATTGGCTTCGGTTAAAAACTTAGAGGATCTAAAAGCGGTACACCAACAAGCAGATTTAACTTTGAAAGGTGCATTTTTGTGTTTATTTTATTTCTTATTACTTTTTCCTGCATACATGAGTTATCAATTAAAAGTTAATGTTGACAGCTCATAAAAAATTTATTTAATTTGCATTAGGTGCGGAGTGGTGGCTGTCGGCCAGAGATTATGGCAAGGACGGAAAATATGATATGCGCTGGATTGACGGAACTGTACTGGAAAGAAACAGCAGTTTGTGGCACGGAAAAGCAGAGAAAAAACACTGCCTCGCTTTCTATACTGGAGGAGATTTACGTTTCTACGGCAAGCTTTGCGATCCTGATAAAAAGCACTACATATGCGAACTTCTGCCTGAATGCTATGACTATAAACTATAACTTACGCATGATTTGCAGTTGAGCTCTTTTAACTTGTATAATATTATGTTAACTGTGAAACATTGCCTTATGATTATTTTTATTTACTTATTATTAGCAAAAACACAAAAAAGCCAATTAAAATTTAAACTATAGTTCATGCATTTATAAACATCTCATAATATTTGTTCACGCTTTATAATTCAACTCCCTCATCACACCAATGTCATCAATGTTTTTTAATCAATTGAGCGTTACTTACACTTTTTTTTCTCTTTCATATTTTATGTCGAAATCGAATGTAAAGACGCTTCATAGACTTCAATTTAGTTTCAGAAATGTGTATTGGGTTCAAAAGCTCAAATATAGTGATGATTTAATGTTAATTTAATACAAAAATTCTTCATCATTGGAAGATGCATTATTATTACTTAATTATTTAGTTAAAATTTTATTAATAATTAAATTTTATTAAAAATAATTCATTTTAAAGCTTGTACACTGATGTATAAAATATTTATGTAAAATAGATGTAAAAATAATTGAAAAAGTTCTAAATCAAATAAAAAAAAAAATGTAAAAAAATGCTTAAAAATAAACAGCAAATAATATTTTTATTATATTAAAAAAAAACAGTTTGTAAAACATATATACATCATAGTGTTGCAATAAAATTTATTTACCAAAAAACTTTTCAATTAAAATGTATTATTCTGTCTGACTGTTTTTGAAAACTTGATGCAACATACAACATTCTGTGTGGCCTAATATCAGTGAATTAAAAAAAATATTTGACCAGAGGAGCAAAAATAGCATATGTACCAAAAATAGAAAATTTAAAACTGTTCAAACTTGGATTACCATTTTCTTCAAATATTTATCATAGAAGGAAATTCAACTTCCCCCAAGCGTTGATTATGAATTTGAATGAAAGCAAGCCGGCGAGTCGAGTGGGGCCTTGAAGGGCTGGCGAATTTGTCGGTCGGGGGGCAGCAGCGGTGCATGCACGATATGAGATACGGCCCAGTGTTTTGTTAATTAAGGGTTAATTAAGCTTAACAAGTTATTCCAAAGTTCGACTATGATAGCGCAGGCAGCAAGACAAAAGCCCCGGCCATTCAGGGGCTTACCGAGTTAAATCCACGGGCTTTTCCAAGCCGCTTGCTCAATTATCCCGGCGAAATTGGCGGCATTAAGGTTTTGCCTTTGCTTGCTTGCCAGTGTGTGCTGTGCTCTCGCTGCACGTGTGCAACAAACAGAGCAAGTTTGGAGCTGATATGATAGCCCGGGATTAAGATGGCGCAATGTGATTCGCATTACAGCTCACTTTAATAACTTTATTATTCCGGACGGGAATCATCGGCTTTGTCCCGAATATAATATGCACGCACAGGCCGCCCACTCGTCGCTACAACTTGACAACCCGCCCGGCTCAAAGTTCGCACCGACACCAGACAAAAATTCCCCTGCAAAGCCTTCCGTGTGCATAAATTAGGAAAGGGTCCCTTCATTCTACGAAAAGAGATTACTAAAATTATATAGAAAATAACGTCTCTATTTCAATTAATTTATTTTTTTTTTAATTTTATTGCAATAATAATAATAAAAAAATTCCGCTATAAATATGTAAAATTCACTTTCTCATGCTTCCAGGATTAAGAAAATATTATAATATTCCCTTAGTCTGCGGTACATTAAAAGGTGTGCGTCAATCCTTTTTTCCCTTTAATCTTGGTGTATGTGATTTTTTTTTATAATTTTTCGGTAGATTTTATTTTGGCAATATTTTGGGCAAATTTACAGCTGAAATGCGTTATTTTAGGTGATTAAAGGACCAATTAAGTAATTATTTTCGTCGTCAAAATTTTAAGTCAAAGTCTTTTATATGTATCAATATTATTTTTTTTAATGTTCACTTTTTCTGAAAATAACTGATATTCAAGGTGAAATTTTTTGAATGAAACAAAGTGGAAAAAAAAGGTGATTTAAGGTTCAAATAGGTTTTTATTGCTCAAAATTAATTAAAAATCAGCAATTTTTTTTCTTATTTACAAAGCTCAATTCCTAAAAGTAATAATAACAAAATTTCCTTATTTATATTGTAATGCTCAACTAAAATATAATATAAGATATATTTTTTGTTAAAATATTACATTTATTTGAAGAAATTGACACTCGAGGAGATGATCATGGAATTGAAGAACTAGGGCTTTTTCATCGTTGTAAAAAATTGTTTTTTTATTCAAAAAACCAAAACTCATGAAATAGGGCCACTGACCATGACTGAAAATAGTAGAGCCGTTTTCTTTTGTATTGATAATTTTATTTGCTATTATTAATTAGATACAAAATGTTTAAAATAATGTTCATGGCTTTTTTATTATAATTTGTTTCTATTAAATAATTAATCTTAAGTAGCATAAAGACATCATGTAAAAATTTGTAAATTTAAATAATAAAAAACATTAATAAAATATCAAGACATGTTAATAACAAGAGATTTGTCTTCCTCTCTCACTAGTATTTCTTCATCGCATTTCGTCCTCTCTTCATCGGAAAAAATATGGAAATTTTTGTAACCCCGCCAACAAATAATTAAAATTTCTCTCCCAAGAGTCATCGGCAAAGACCATCAATTGCAGATGCAGCGGCAAAAGTTGAGAGGGTGGACTCGAGTTTCAATATAAAAAACCGAAGTTATGCGGCCGGGGAGGAAAAATTCTGCTCGCGATCTTGGATAATTAAATCGCGTGTTTGAATTGCGCGGAATATAAATAAGGGTGGCGCACGGGTGTACCTGTCGAAGGCAGGCGCAATTAAAAGAGAAAACGCCGGCGAGGAGGAAAAATAAATTTTATCCGCGAATCCAATCTTGTTTGTTTGCTGCTGGTGAGATTTTTTCATTTCGAAATAAAACAACATTCCGCGCGCGGCCTCTCATTTTAATCTGCTGCAAATCAATTCAGCGCTAAAACGCTGCTGCTCGTGATGGAGCTTATGAAATAAATGATGAACTCGCCAAGTCTCCTGCTTTGTTTCTCTCTCCTTTTTTTATTAATAAAAAACAAAACTACACCCTGCTGGATCTCGTCGGTACGCAGAAATGAAATGAAACAATCACAAAGGAGGAGAGAAGGATGAGATTCGCTCTCTCGAATTCCATTGTTGGTAATCCCGTTAAGCCTCTATTTATACAATTTTAATTGGATAAAAATCTCCGACGCTGCTGCTTGTGATGAGAGGAATATCGACCCCTTTTTATTAGGTTCATCCCTTTTGTTTTTTGTTTGCAGCGATTTTCCTGTTATTGCCGCCAAGATTGCTAATAATAACACTGCAATCTAAAATCAGGTGGTATTGTCAATTAATGCTGGTTTTAAATCTAAAAAATCTCTGCGGTTCAGCATAAAAAATTTGTGTATTGGGCTAATTTTGATTTTGTTGAAATAAATTTATAAAATATGTGCTAAATTAAAAATTTTTAACAAAATTTAGTTTGTAGCAAAAATTATTTGCATGTATTTAAATTTATTTATTATTACAATTTACTTCATATATTTATAATATTATTTTTTAAACTTGCTTAATTGGAAAAAAAGAAGCAGAAAAAGTTTTAATTTTATATAAATTCATTCCAGATCTGAAATTTAGAAAATTAAATTTATTTGAATTATTTGCCCTAGAATTGTAGCAATTTTCTTTTAAAAATACCTCTGTTTGTCTGTTTCTCCTATTGCACTGTGCACATTTTTTTTTTTTAATATTTCCTATGGAGCTTTCTTCACATGTAAATTCCTCCTTGTACCCACATCTTCGTGTTTTGCTTCAAAATAAGAAAAAGGATATTACCTCAATTTATTTTGCCCAATCCCAAACATATTCATATATGCAAAAGCTCATTTCAATACACGTTGTTTTCTGTGTCCCATAATATTTGCAAAGGCAAAGCAAGAATCAAAGTAATTTCGGTGAACGCCTCGCCAGGGGCTGTGTTTCGGTCAAATGTTTGCGCTGAAAATTGCACACAATAATCTTTCTCTGTTTTTTGCAAGCAAACACACGCACGCAATATTACTTTTATCCGGGCGGAAAGAGAAGCAAAAATAATAAAAGTCAAAGACAAATCCATTACCGGCGAATTGATTTTAAAATTCAAAACCGAGACACGAACGCAACGCGCGCACCTGCCGCTATTTTTTCGGTCTATCGTTTTTTTATTATGATGTCTTGGCACGGGCTGGGTGCGTCTCTGCTGAATTTGAGTGATGTTTTCGTGGAATACCAAATCTGGCGCGCGCTGCTTTGACCCAAGATGGAGATGGATGGAGAGCGGCGTTATTTGGAACATGTGCACGTCTCGACATCGGAATTATTACTTTTCCCCAGCATGCTGCCGGACGTTATATTTGACAAACAAAACTATATCCCCCGTCCGCCCTTCTCTATAACTTGATGTGAATCAAATTTGTTTTCCCGGCCGTGTGCGGCTGATGTGCACCTCCGGGCTATTTTTCCTGCAGCACGTTTACGAATTCAGATGGGCTGCTCTCCGCAGATGTGGATATAATTTTCTTTCTATGCGCGCCTCACAAGTTATTTCGCAAAGTGACGCAGTTTGCTTTTTACCGGCGATTTGGTGCTTCTTAATATTAAAATATTTAAATAATATAACAATTTGTGCAGCTATATTTAATTATTTCATTATTGCATATATAATGTAATATTTTATAATTAAAAATTTTTGGGTTTTTATAAATAAATTTTTAATAATCTTCTTAAACATTTTTTTGGTATTTTAATTTTTAACTGTAATGTGGTAGTTTTTTTGTATTTGTTCATATTATTTTTTATATTAAAAATTAAATAATGTTCATGTATTGAAGATCAATAATTATTATTACAAAGATAATCTCCTTCTTCCACGTTGTTGTTTCTTTTTTCATTGAATAATATCATATCAACTTATTCCATTTATTCCTATTGAAATATATACATATTTACATCAAACTAATGAAATGAAAAGATAATAAATAACACGTGTTGTTCGAATTATACTTACTTAATTTGTTTCATCCAACAAACTTGACTGAAGGGCATAATTCTTTAAAGTTTAGTTAATTTCATTCATAGCTATTAGCTGACATAACTTTGTAATTATTTCCATTACCATGTCTTTGACTAAGGATTGAGTTTAAAATTAACTCACCAAACGTATGAAAATTAATTCAGACTTTTGTTAATAATTATTTTTTTAAATTGACAACAATAATCATTGGATCCAAATTTCATTGTTTGTGCATTGGAAAACTTTGATTAGCATGAAATTGAAAGCAAAATAAAAGTATACAAGCCGTTTGAAAATGCACGAGGGTGCCCAACAAATATAGTGTCCGAACAACAATATAATTTATTTCTCTCTGTGCATACCTATTATCCAGGCACGTGCATTGTTTTTTGCAGGGCTGCCCAGCAGGAGGGTCGCACATACACGCATTCGTTCGGAGAATAACTTTTCAATTTCCCGGTGTATCCAAGTGGAAAATTCTCTCTTTGTGAGTTGCAACAACACAGAGAGAGAGACTCTCTTGTTTTTCCCCGACGCAATGCCTGGACTTGAAAACACACGTGGCCG